TAGTTCAGGCGTGTCAAACTCACGGCCTGTGGGCCAGATGCATCATGCGCTCCCCCACCCCCAATTTTAGTGAAGGGGAAAAAAGTTGTCATACATCATGTGATGATGACATGTCATTGCGAGTTTGACATCCCTGCTTTAGTTCCAATTTGTTCCTCTGCAATAACCAACCAGGGATGGTCATCAAGATATGTGAAGTATGATGTCATCCATGTGCAGATGGTAATTAACTTCCTCCACATACTTTCCCCTCAAACAGGAACAGCTAACCTGGTGTTTGACAATTGCCTGAAGTGAATGAAGGCTAATAGAATTGTCCTGATCTAGGATTTCCAAGTGCATGAAGCAAACTTCTTGTCCTGACAAAAAAACCTTTTATTAATTTACTGTGAATTCTGCTCATTCACATCCAGCAAAGTGGATTTACAAACACAGACCTTATCTGGCTTGGAAAGCTGACAGGCCGATATCTGTAAAAGTTGGCAAAGAGTCTCGGAGACTTACGAACCAATTAACCAAACTAATTGTCTCCTGCAAACTCCACTCCCCCTTTGCTTCTCTTTTATTTCCTCTGGGAGGGCCCATTCATTGTCCATCTGTGGCCTTACTCCCAAGTCGACCCCTGTTCTTTAGCTGTTCCCTTCATCTGGCAACTCTGTACATGCACACACTGGGAACAGGCTCCAGACTCAGAAGGCAGCTGTAACTGGCTTTTGCCTCTGGCCCCTTCCCTGCCTCCGACGCAGAGCCCTCAACAGAGCCTTCCCCAGACTCCAGGACTGGCCTATGTTCCGCCCCAAACTCCTCACTGTCCGAATCTGCTGCCAGTTCCGTTAGTGGGCCATAAAAAAAATAAAGCTGAATCTCAGTACAGACTGTTTCTAGTTTAAGAACAAGTTCGATCCCTAAATCTTTTTTGAATTTGTATGTAAGTGGTATTTATGAATGCACTGTTACTAGAAATGATGGAAAGCGTTTCCCTCCCTTGAGCTGACAAGCTGTGTATTAAAAATGCATGGCTCCGATACTTCATGAAAACACTGCACAGCTTCAATGGTTTATCATCTTGAGGAAGGAGAACACCTTCCACCTTTTTAGTGGAATAGGCAGTCCATTCATTAAGTACCAAGTATATTTATCCTGTGTTTGTTACTTTATAAATAATTGCTTTAAATAAATAATGACTGTGTTTATTANAGGGATTGCTAATCTTCCTTACATGGGTACCATTCAATATTCATATCCAATTATACTCATCATAACACTACACATTGTATATATTAGTAACATTAGCAGTTATTTATTTAAGCTATATCTATTATCAATAAATTTCACTAGGTTTAACTAATTTTAAATTATATTCTTCCATTTATCAACCTGTATCTTTCCAATAACAAAACAATTTCATATCTTCTGCCATTTGTGGTACCAAATGCTTTTGTTTTTTGTGTTCTCACTTACCTGCGGCTGTTTCGTTTTCTGCTCCTGGGCAATCACTCCATGGAAGGGGAAACTGGAAAGAATTACCCAAGTAGAAAAGACTCCATGCCATAATGACATTATAATATAGGGCAACAAAAGAACACACCTAAAATGAAGAGCAAAATGAATCAGCATTCCACGCTATCCTTGGACATGTATACAGCTGCTTCGATGGAAGAGGGACCTTTTGCAGACAAACTGCAGATTATGTCAAAAACGTTTGAAAAGGAATGTGTTTAGAACATGTTAAACTTCTGAAATATTTTGATTTTCTAAAACAGAGATGCATTTTTTTCCAGACCTATGGACTAGCCCCATGATGGCGAACCTGTGACACGCGTAGCCATATCAGTGGGCACGTAAGCTCAGCTCCAGCTGATTTGGGGGCCTTTTGGGCACACCAGAAGTTGAGAAACAGGCTGTTTTTGGCCTCTGGTGGGCCTCCGGGGTGTGTGTGGAAGGCCGTTTTCACCCTCTCCAGGCTCCTAGAAAGGCTCTGGAGCCTGGGGAGAGCAAAAAACGGACTTTCTGGTCCGACCGGTAGTGGGCAAACAGGGCCTCCAGGGGAGTGGGAAGGCCGTTTTCGTCCTCCCCAGGCTCTTAGAAAGGGTCTAGACCCCGTAGAAGGCAAAAAACAGGTCCACTGTGCCATCATGTGCCGGATGGGGGGAGCAGGGATTGTGCACACATGCACAGGGGAAGGTGCATAGAATTATGGGTGTGGGCACATGTGCGCATGACCCCCCCGTACTCCCCCTGCTTTTGGCATGCAATAGCAAAAAAGGTTAGCCATCACTGGACTAGCCATTCTAAGCTTTTCCAGGATGAGGATTACACTCCAAACTGTAGGGAGCAGGCCAAAATAAAATAAAATTAGGTTTGATTTCATTTATGATTTAATTAATTCAAATTAAATATTTTTAATAAAATATTTCTCCAGTCATGGGTTCTTTCCTTTCTATCACATCACAAGCAATCGCAATCTGAAAACATTTGAAGATGCAATGGTTGCTAAACAACCCACTGTTTGCTATGACTTGTTTTTACTAAAAACTAGAAATAAACATCAGATTTCAACCAAAAAAAACCCCTTCAAATTGTGCTTGTGTGATCATGGGATACTGCAAACGGCTGCAAATAGAGGCTTACTGCTGAGCACCCAAAATGTGTTCAAATGACAACAGGGAGCCTTCCTGGTTATTGAAACTTCAGAACTAGGTTGGATAGGAACTATAAGTTTGAACTGTTGCAAAGCAACTGGTTGTAAGACAAGAACTACTTGTAAGTCTTTTTTTTTTTAGAGCATAAGAGTATGATTGTTGGTAGCAAAGGGTAAACATTTCCACCCACTAGATAAGATAACCTTTATTGTCACTATTTTCTATGAACACACTGGCATACATTAAAAAATTGAAATTCTGATGCCCACTCTCAAAAGTATACATGTATGTATGTATGTGTGTACACACACACACACACACCAGTGGTGGGTTTCAAAAACTTTTGGAACCTCTTCTGTAGGTGTGGCCTGCTTTCCGGGTCCACTGGTGGAACCTCTTCTAACTGGTTCAGTAGATTTGACGAACCGGTTCTACCNGAATGTGATAGATAGATAGATAGATAGATAGATAGATAGATAGATAGATAGATAGATAGATAGATAGATAGATAGATAGATAGAGTCATTGATGAAATGAACATGAATTTTGGAAAAACTCCAGAAATAGAGGAGGAAAAAGGCCTGGTGTCCATAGGGTCAGACATGACTTAGTGACTGAACAACAAAATTATGTGTGTGTTCGTATGTGTATGTGTGTGTGAGAGAGAGAGAGCAATCTTCACTAGGAAAGTTAATTCCAACAATAAGCCTGGCTTTGTGCCAGTGGTGATCCTTTGTTTTGCGCTTTTTTTCCAGTTCTTCCATCTATGCAAAAAAATGTTTCTCACAATGAGAAACTGAGGTTGATCTAATCTTCATGGAACAAGGGAAGCCAAGGTCAGATAGGAAAGGCAGCAATGGGTGCCAGCCACCAAGAGAGAGAGAATTGAAAAAAGGGGGCAGCCCTGGAACAAGATTATAAATGCCAGTTGTCCTCTGCAAATACCTCATGGCTTTGTTTGCTAACCTTAATCTCCCACAAATTGGGAGAGACTTTTCTATCTTTAGCTCTGCAAATTACACATAAACGACTTTTGGTTCTTCAAGGCAGTTATCTTAAATCAAATTGTGAAGCAAGACCAGTGTGTTGTGGGTACGTAATTACAAAAGAACTTTCACATGATATGACAGTTGGCCCCCTAAACAAAAATGTCCAGGGTACATTTAATTGCCTCTTTGACAGATAAGGCTATGGACAGACAATAGTACGAAAAGACTTGAATTTATTATAATTTGCAGATCACTCCAGGTTCTAACCTGTCTTCAGAATTTTATCAGAATAGAGAAAATATCTGGAATGAGATGAAACTGTAGATGAATGTTGGGTGGTGTATTAGTCCAAGTTCTTTCATCTGTATTTTATTTTTAACTAGCTGAATACCTGTGCTTCGCGACAAAACTATGTGATTGGGCAATGTAGGAGAAATCTGGTTCATTCCGGTTCAATTTATTGGCTTAGTGGTGGTCTGTGATTAAAACACATACGGGAATATCAATCCCGCCACCTTGAGTCTGAAAGCAGTTTCATAGGTGGAAGTCATAGACATTTTGGTGAAGTACCGAAGTTTAATACTGTAAACCGCTCCTGAGTGAAAGAGTGGAATGTCTGCCAGTTTGAACTGAGGTAACAGAATGTGAGGCAACTGGCAGTTGGAACAGAGTTTTTTTCAGGTGGGGAAGGGGAGTAGAATGTCTAAATTCCTTAGCATCAGAGCGTGTTAATGTAAGGCAATGCAGTTGGAACAGAGTTCTTTTAAAGTGGGGAGGGGAAATAGAACTCCTTAGCATCAGAGCGTGTTAATTACTGTATAAGAAATAGTAATGATCTGATTATCATTTTGAAAAATCCTTTCTTAGTGAGCACCTAGAAGTCAAGAGGAACATATGTGTCAAATTTCAAGTTTGTAGACTTTACGGTTCTAGAGATTTCATGATGAGTGAATGATATTTGGCTTTAATCTATGTATATAGATAAAAGTAGACCAATCTATGAATGGGCACAAAGGGGTTTCTGATTAGCTTCTATATTTGATTCCTGATATCAAAAACATCAAGAATTGAATCTGGAACTTTTGTGTGCAATGTAGATAGTCTAACACAGCTTTATAATCTTGTATTTTGCAATGGCCAAATTTCAGGCTTAGTTCTGAATGTTTTGTACTTCAAACAAGTTTTATTAAAAGGACTATGGAAATAATTACCTTTGCCTAAAATAGTCCCTAGCAGTTAGAACAAACAACCCTGAGTTTGCTTAATTAATCATTTGATTCCATTTCGCTTATGATAAAAGGTGACAAAGATAATCGTGGTTCCAATTAAATCACATTTACTCAAAAGGATACAGGGTTTGTGAACTTACCTATGAAGTAGGCTTTTCAAGTGATCACACAAGTATGCAGTGGGTATATGTGTTTCAGGGCAATGATCCCACCTTCCTCTATTTTTGCAGCTTCTGGATTTTTGTGGTTCACAAACTGAATTTCTGTGGTGCAGCAGTCTCTGAAACAGAATAACAGCCTTAAATTAATAGCATTCATTCAGAAATTCATTTATTTGTGTACTTGCTATTAAAACCCCTAAAACCTTATGAGACATAAAATTATACAATTTCTCCAATTTCAATGAAACAACCATTTTAAAATGATACAATCTGACCAAGGGTTGTATAAGTATGTTTGACCTGATGCCGATAAAACAAAATATAGCTATAAGGGATTATTAGGTAGCATGCTAAAAATATGGGATGAATACAAATGAAAAATCCAGATTTTACCACTACTTGTTTTTATATTAAATATGTAAGTTTGTGAAAAATGAACAGACATTTGAACAATGGAGAGAGAATTTATAAAGTCTTCAAGAATTATTAATACAACAAAGATGAAGTCTTTTGAGATTCTGTCTCAGAATGGTAACAGACAACACACGGGCTTTAACATGTAAAATAATCCCAAAGGAATTCCAAAATAAGATTTGCCCAATCGAAAAACAAATAACATGAAAACATACGTATAATATGAAATCTATCACAGAAAACCGGGGGTGAAATACTATCAGTTCAGGTGAACTGGTAGTCAGATGTGTGACAGTCAGCAATGATTTATATTAGATAGAAATCACGCTGCACAGCTGACTATTGCTCAGTTGATTGCCGGAACTTTTTAAAGCAATAGCAGTAGACTTATATACCGCTTCATAGGCCTTTCAGGCCTCTCTAAGCGGTTTACAGAGAGTCAGCATATTGCCCCCAACAATCTGG